TAAGTTACCTAACTTAGTAGGAAATCCCTGAATAAATTTTTTATCGTTGGATTTATACTTATTTATATAATCATCAGATTTCCTCACATCTTTTAATTTTTTTGAGATTCTATTAGTATATATAAGTTACCTAACTTATTAGGAAATCCCTGAATAAATTTTTTATCGTTGGATTATACTTATTTATATAATCATCAGATTTCCTCACATCTTTTAATTTTTTTGAGATTCTATTAGTATATATATAAGTTACCTAGCTTAGTAGGGAATCCCTTAATAAATTTTTTATCGTTGGATTAATACTTATTGCAATGTTACACATTTATTAGCAAAGGATATATTTTTATTTTATTAAATAATATTAATTTCACAAATAAATATATAATCTTATAATACATTATTAATAAGGGTATCATTTAGTATAAATATACGAATAACGTTAAATACAGAAAAAAATAGGATAAAAAATGCGCATAAATGCAATACAAAACGTTAATAAATAAATAAAAAATCACAAAAATTGTGGATAAATACAATATAAAATTAGGCTATAAATGTAAGAACGACCATAAATATTGTAATTGGCGTATACCACTTCTGTATGACCAGACTAAAATATAAATACTTAGACTAATAGCTGTTATTTTATTGACAACATGAAAATTATTGAACAATTAATATAATTACATGACGGAGGAAAAATCGTGAAAAAAGAATATATGGCAAAAGTAGACATTGTAGTTTTAAAAAAACTTAAATGTGATTAGATTTTTTTGAATATAAATATCTTGATATTTTTTCTAAATATTCCATAGGAGTATATATATATACCCACAATAAAGAAATATATTTTCCCTAATTTTATCGTCTATTTTGTAATATATTTTTCTTCTCTCTGTAACTTTCCTTCCATCATCTAATTGTAATAATTTAAGATCCATGTCCTGTTCTATAATTTTTATAGTGTCAATAAAAAGATAAATGTTAGGATGAGAGTAAGGAAAATATTCTTTCAAAGATTTATGGTAACCTTCGACACGATTATTTGTCCTTTCACCCCTAACATCAAATGTATTCCACATTTGGTAGTTAATCTTGCATTACTATTAATCTAAGTATTTTTAAAATAATCTAAAAAGTTGTATATAGAATACAACCCAAAAGAATCAGCTTGTATTTTTAGTCCATTCATAATATATGGCACATCTCGCTCTAATAAAAACGGAATAGCCATAATTATACGGAAAATTTTTTTTACATCATTATTTTGTATATTTATCATGGTCAGACCACATTGCTGAATGAGCCTAACGATACATTGACAAAAATGGAAAAACCTAAAGTTAAACAATAATTTTTTAATAAATTAAACATATTTATATAAGTATATTTGTATTTATTAGGCAATAATATATAAACACATACAATTAAGGTATGGTTAATTAAAATATTAATAGTATAAAATTGATAAAATAATTTAGGGGAGGAATTAAAAGTTCCATCCAAAAAATTTTTTTCAGCCAAACAAAGGCGTGAAAGAAGAGATCTTGTAGAAAATATTAACAATTTTTTATCATCACAACTATGAACTAAAAAATTAGTTCCAGTCATGGTAATTATGTGCTCTTGGGTTAATATAATATCACCATTTGAAAAGGGAAGGGGGGGGGGTCGTGTTAATTGAATAACACGTCTCATAATGGATTTAACTGATAAAAAGGTAGGTAACCTTTTGGGGTTTTGCATACAGAAAGGATCGAGTTTTCTGTCTCTCATAACCTTTCTGTATGTCTTTCTAATACTAATATTTTTATTTAACAAAAGTTCTGTTTTAAGCATATTGTTCGTGATGAGTGTATTATATATTTCTTCATCATTATGATCAATATGCTTTTGTGTCATTATAAAATGAGTATTTAAAATCCCCCTCCCTTTACAATGTTTTGTATGGCATTTATAATATATTAATTTATCATTAATATACAAATACTATATAGTAAATGTATTAATCATATTATATATACATGGAATTGATGCATAATTGTTTTCACTGACAACAGCTTCTTGGGTTAGAATAGGAATAACATCTTGAATAGCTTTATAATTGATATAGTAAATGTATTAATCATATTATATATACATGGAATTGATGCATAATTGATTTCACTGACAACAGCTTCTTGGGTTAGAATAGGAATATCATCTTGAATAGCTTTATAATTGATATAGTAAATGTATTAATCATATTATATTTACATGGAATTGATGCATAATTGATTTCACTGACAACAGCTTCTTGGGTTAGAATAGGAATATCATCTTGAATAGCTTTATAATTGAAGTAAATGTATTAATCATATTATATTTACATGGAATTGATGCATAATTGTTTTCACTGAGCTTCTTGGCTGAGAATAGGAATATCATCTTGAATAACTTTATAATTGATATGGTAAATATATTGTATTTTACATGGTGAATAATTTGTAATATTTTGTAAATAAGTTATAATTAATGTATTACTTTGACACCCAATATTTGCATATGAAATGGAAGCTTTAATAAAGAGGTAAATAATGTTAAAGGATGATATAAATAGGTTTTACTTTGGCATCCTACAGAAAAATAATTTTTTTGAAGGCAGATTGCATCTATAATATATTAATATAAAATTTATCTATAATTAATATACTCGTGCACTCTTTGGACATAGTAAATAAATTATTCTTAACAATCCAGCGTCCAAGGTATGGTTTATTTGTGCATGTAAAATAAGCAGTAAAGCTATTATAGACTTTTACCTTTATACTACCTACAGGGGCGGACTGGCGACGCTACGGCCTCGTGGGCATTTTTTTTATAGCGGCCTCATTTATATGGGGTCTTATTCCCCATACTTCCATTTTCCCTTAAATGGCTTCTTATTTTTTGAAAATAAGTTCAAACTTTTTACATTTTTAGTAAAAAAAAGAATAGTATTATACAATAATCATATATTTTATTTAAAAAAATGCACATTTAAAATCATATTCATTACCTATAATTCATCTAAAATATATATTTTATATTAGATTTACAACGATATTGCACTATAAAATCAAATCATACATCACATGTTAAATATAAAAAAAAATGCATACTCAATATATTAAATCAATTAATTATAAATATAAATTATTGCAGTCATATAATATTACAGAGAATAAAATTAATGCCCTTTTATAAAATCAGGCACCGATCATATTGTAAATAATATTAATAAGATTCTAATAAAAGAATAAAGAAAATATATAAATTTACGTTAATAAATCTCTCATTAACTTTGAACCTTTGCGCAAATATACAGGAATATCTTCTAGTTCAATCTATGCTAATAGTTCTCGTTCAACTTAAAACGCTTCTTATTTTTCTTAGTCAATATTAGCTCTCAGCTTATTTTTATAATTTTTAATTTACTAAATGCTTTTTTGCAATTATTCTGCGTAGATGATAAAGTTAAAATGTATTCATAAGCCAAAAATAAATTAGTGTCACTTGTATGCTTATTGTATCTTTTAAGAATTTCATACACGCATATTAAACACTTGGTATATTTATTATCACACTCTGATTTATTATCATATTGTAATATTCCATCTTCTTCATTTGACTCCTCACTTGTACATGCGATATCATCGTCCGTTTCTTTTAATTCTGCTACCAAATCTTGGAATACACTGAATGAACATAATTCGTTATAAAATTTATCACTCAATATATATGTCAATTGTGCCAGTTTTTCGAAGGCTTTTTCAGAAATACCCCTTTACTATTTATTTTATCAAAATGTCTTGGATACAAATATAGCACATTCAAGATAAGCTCTCAATTCGCAGAAAGTAGTTCCGGATAGGACTAAATAGTTCGAACCTATAAAGGTCAATCGATTCTTGAGGACGTTCATCTTGACATTTGTCACTATATGTTCTCTTAGCTTGTCTTATTCGATCTTTTTACAGAGTATTTTTCAGATACTCTCCGAGAGCTATAAATATGAAAATGTTTCATTTAAATTAGTAGCCTTTTTATTGCTTTTTTTTGAATCGATGTAATAATCGATGATACAGAAGATTTAGCATCTTCTTTCATTTTCCATGCTGACAAAGTACCTAATTTTTTAGTTTGAAGATATGACAGTGGCCCCATTATTTTAAAAATTTCCAAATATATTATAGCTGTGCTTAGAGTCATAAATTTACATAAATTATCTAGTTTTTATCTCAAATTATTTATTCTATTATAAATTGAAGTGCCTTTATCGTTATTGGGAGCAAGCTCTCTTTATATCCATCTAAGGGCTTTTTCACGTGCCCACCACCTTATCTCACCTATTTTTTAGCAGCCTTCTCAACTTATTTTGGCCAGATGAATTATTCTGTTTTACCCAAGCATCCATCCTTTTATCTGATTCACCGATCTAGATTTTATTTGATTTCAATGAATTAAGAACAAGAAATGTTGGCTATATTATTTCTACAATAAATCAATGTATAAAAATATAATATAATAAATGAACCAAAACTTAGCTTTCGATCTACTCAAACGGAAGCGTTTTTACTTCATTTGAAAAAAAAACAAAGAAAAGAACGTGATAATGATGTGTAGCGTCAAGCGACGTTATTGATATATTATTTAAAATATAGTAAACGACATGACAATTCTCAAGGAATGTGATATTTAAATCATAGAGATATCATTAAAAATAAATAAATGATAAGAGAAAATAATGTGAACATATTAATTTTATTCTAATCGGCCTTAAAGATCGGCGCGGCCTCGTGGGCAAAATGCCCCCCGGTTCTTATGACCAGTCCGCCCCTGACTTCCTATTTATATATACTCAAAGTAGTATGCTGGGTTGATTATTGAAAAATGGTATTTAGCTTGTAAATTCAATTTCACATTTTTTCACCTTTTCGTAAAGCGACAAAACGTATAAAGTTAATAATAATTCGAGACTACGGAAACGTTTGCACAATTTAGCACGTGCTGCTGGTGCATTTTTTAAATATGATGTACTTAAAATGGTTCGAATGTATTACTAGAGAAGTTAGGCGATTGATATATATTTTTTATTGTAGTTACATTGATTCAAAAAATCCAGCTTATCTATTCATCAAGATACCTAAAATCCTGCCCTGCCAAGATTAAAAATTTGTAAGACGATATTATATTTGAAAATATAAACTCCTATGGCTTCACTAAAAGATGAAACCCAACATTCGACTTCAAATTTAAAAACTATTATCCAAAATTCTTATAGATTTTTACTTGGTAGTATAGCTGGTGCTGTAGGAGCCACAGCTGTTTATCCTTTTGATATGATAAAAACTAGGTTACAAAATCAAAAGCAAATAATAAATTTTAATGGCAAAGATGATATATTTAAAGATTCAAAACTCCACAAAACACCTTATACTGACCTTATTAATAATATTGGCAAAAATCTTAACAAAGATATAAAAATAACAAGGAATAATATATCTATAGAAAAAAGTAAAACTTATTACAAGAATTCATTTGATTGCTTGGTGAAGATAATAAAATATGAAAAAGTTAGAGGACTTTACAGAGGCATAGGCCCTGTACTGATTGGAGTTGCTCCAGAAAAAGCTATCAAATTAACGGTTTTTTAATATTATATTTATGACATTTTTAAAGTTTATTTTATATTTTACTTTAATGGTTTGATATTAAATTAGTTACTTACATTTAATAACACTAGCTGATAACTCATCAAGAATGACAGGGAATAATACATTTATCCTTTACTTAAGATGGATAAATCAGAATTTTGCCCTTTCAGAAATCAACTTATCTTATATGAGTTGTAAATAAGAAATTATATAATATTTTAATGAAAGCTTATTTTGAGATGTTTTAATATTATTATATTTGTTAGTGAAATATATATTTAATAGCTTTATTATACTTGTATTTTCAATATATCTATATTAATAATTTAATTTATAATAAAGTTGTCTTTAAGTGCCCTATTAAAAATATTTTCTACATTTGTAGTTGAAAAAATGTAATCTTGCTAGATGAGGGTTTAGTATGGCAAAGGTATACAAAACCCTCATCTAGCAAGATTATAATTGAGAAAGTATACAAAGCCCTCAGATAACAGGATTATATTTAGGCCTTAAATTATAAATACAAATATAGAAAATATTTTAATTGGGCACTTAAAGACAATTTTATTCAAAATAATCAATTTAATTTGAAATTATGTAATAGATATATTGAAAATATACAAATATGATCTAATTATTTGTATAATGAAGGTACTAAATATGTATTTCATTAACATATATAAAAATAATAGAACATCTCAAAATATCCTTACATCAAAATAAAAGTAAATTTCTTATTCACAACTCATAAGATAAGTTTTAGGGATGTACCGATATTTTTTATCGGATTGGGCCAATATTTCACCCATTTTAAAATATCAATTATTGGCCAATATCAGAAAATTTTTTGATCCGATATAAAATGGCCTCTTTAACAAAAATAAAATGTAAAATGTTAATCTAAAATCATATATTTATATAAATAAAATTTTTATGTATATTTTTTTAATAATAATAATTAATTAATAAACATTCTGACATATTGTTATTTTTTTGCGCATTCTGTTTATAAAAGTGTGCTATAATCTCTTCAGAATTCTGTATTTAGTGAAGCTCGTGATATTATCATTAGTGTTGTTAAACGGCCAAGGACTTAGCTGCGACTCGAGTTAAGTTTTTAGTCTAAAAAACGACTTTGACTTGAGTCGACTAAATGAGCCGCATTGGTTGGCTAGCTTATTCAGCTCATTTAGTCGGCAGGTGTAGTTGGCTTGTGTATTTGACTCGTTGGTCTGCTCAATTTTTTTGTTTTTTTTATAAAATCTGGTAAATTGCTAAATTTTGGGAAACTGATTAATGTGAACAAAATTATAATAAGAATATGTTGTTTTTAAAGTTTTTAGATTTTTTTGACATAAATGGGCTAAAATACGTATTGCTAACATGTTTAAATAAAATTTTAGTGAAGATGTACCCTAGATAAGTTAGTGACAATTGTCATAATCGTTGTTTTTAAAGTTTTCGAATATTTTTGACGTAATTGGCCTAAAATAAGTATTGCTAACATGTTTAAATAAAATTTTAGTGAAGATGCACCCTAGATAAGTGACAATCGTCATAATCGTTGTTTTTAAAGTTTTTCGAATTTTTTTGACGTAAATGGGCTAAAATAAGCATTGCTAACATGTTAAAATAAATTTTAGTGAAGATGTACCCTAGATAAGTGACAATTGTCATAATCGTTGTTTTTAAAGTTTTTCGAATTTTTTTGACGTAAATGGGCTAAAATAAGCATTGCTAACATGTTTAAATAAAATCTTAGTGAGGATGTACCCTAGATAAGTGACAATTGTCATAATCGTTGTTTTTAAAGTTTTACGAATTTTTTTGACGTAAATGGGCTAAAATAAGCATTGCTAACATGTTTAAATAAAATTTTAGTGAAGATGTACCCTAGATAAGTGACAATTGTCATAATCGTTGTTTTTAAAGTTTTTCAAATTTTTTTGTCGTAAATGGGCTAAAATAAGCATTACTAACATGTTTAAATAAAATTTTACTGAAGATGTTCCATAGATAAGCGACAATTGTCATAATCGTTATTTTTGAAGTTTTTTAAAGCAAGTGGGCTAAATAAGCATCGCTAACATGTTTAAATAAAATTTTAGTGAAGATGTACTCTAGATACAGGGTTTTCCATTCAAAAAAAGAAGATCGTAATTTTTTTAAATTTTTTGTCAATTTTTCTTAAACTTTTATTTATTTTAGTTATTCCTTTTTAATTTATTTCTAAATTTTTGCGATTTCTTTACGTTTGTTTTCTTACTATATCTTTTCTCAATTTATTTCTAACTTTTTGCTATTTTCTTTACTTTTATTTTTTTTACTATATCTTCTCTCAATTTATTTTTCTTCAATTTATAAATTTAGGTCCATTTTTTTAACAATTCTTTACGTTACAGATACAATATTCTTTTAATGATTTTTTCATTGTAATCTCTTACAAACATTTTTAACCTTTTCAATCTCGTCATTTTTAATCTTTATTTTTTTTGACCTCTTCTCAATTTTCTTCTTCTCATTTTTGATAAAAAAATTGTAAAATTATATTTAATGTTTTTGGCAGACAATATAATTACAATTGCTAAATTATAAATTAATCGTTTGGTTTACCTTAACTGTAATACCAAACGATATTTAAATTAATAAAATATAATCATTTTTAAATTCTTATTTTTTTACACATTAGAAAATTATTATTATTTAAAACAATAGAAGAGGAAGACAGACTAAATAAAATTAATTTTTTAAAAATATTTTCATGGATTTTAATTCGAGTTATTTTTGTACATTATTATAATATAAAGTGTAGGTTATATAAATAAAGATTATATATAGTAAAAAAAATGCGTCCTTAATTTTTTTTTTTAAATTTATAAATTAGTTTGATCAAAGTCAGATATAAAATAGATGTTTTAACTAAATGGTCTTTAATAAACAAAATTATATGTTCTAGGATTTTGTAATGAACTAAACTAGCAAAAATAATTATAAAAAATGAGAAGAAAAAATAGATAAACGCACAAAAAAATAAAGATTAAAAATGACCAGATTAAAAAGGTTAAAAATGTTGCAAAAGATTAAAATGTATTAATCATAAAGAGAATATTATATCTGTATGCAGGGATGCGAACCCGACAAAATTTTTGCCCGGGTTCGGTTCGGGTTCGGTTCGGGGTATAAAAAAAGGTGGGTTCGGTTCGGGTTCGGTTCAGGGAAATATTTTTGAACCCGGGTTTGGTTCGGGTTCGGTTCAGGGAAATATTTTTGAACCCGGGTTTGGTTCGGGTTCGGTTCGGGTTCAAGAATTTTTGAGTTGATAAAAAAAATTCTATATTTAAATCATAATTAAAAACTAGACATAAATTTGATATAAAAAATAAATTTTTTATTTTATTTATAGGCAAATATAGTTAAAAATACAAAGCATATAGTCATGTATCAATTTTAAAAATTTTATTTAGACGTATTAGCATAATATCTTCCAAGAGTTGTTCACTCATCCTCGATCTATGTGGTGAAAGAATGAATTTCAAATGTGAAAAAGATCTTTCAACGCTAACCTATGTTAAATGTATTTATATGTGAAAATATGAAAAATTAACTTGGGTTGCAGGAACAGCAAATAAGATTTTAGATAAAATATATAATTCAGGGTGTTCCAGCTTAGCAGACTCCCAAAAATGCAAAATATTTTCCTTCTTATCTAATCTTTTATAATCGCTAAATCCAGTAATTATTGTTCCAATACTTTTCTCAGCAATCGTTGGCCCTCTTTTAAGTATTTTCTCCTGCCTTTCTTTAAGTTGTATCAATTTCTCTAAATCATCTTCTTGTTCAATAACTTCATCGGAACTAATATCATCAGATAAAATCGGCGTGTTAAGCTTTTAATTCGTCTCCATAAATTGACAAGATGTTTTTTCGCACAAATCTTATCATCATCACTAAGTAATACCTGTAATATTTAAGGATTTATATTTAAATATTTCATAAAATAACAATTTTAATATATCTAAAATAATTAATTTACTAAGCTTTTAATTAACCTTGTATCTTGGGTCCAGGTATATGGCAGCTAAGAGAATTTCGTTCTTTATAAACCTTTCTTCTCTGTTCTTAAGACAAGAATATAGTAATTGAGCAAAATGGTTTGGATTTTTTTCCAGTTCGATGCAGCATCTTAACCATGCTGCATAAAAATCTGTCAGTGTTAACTGTTCAGATTGGAATTGTTTGGTTGCGATTTTTAGCGGTTTTAAAATTTCAACAATCGTTATTATCTCTTTCCAATCTTCAGTCAATAAATAATCAGATTGCTCTGTAAAAAATCTTCGATATTGGGTTTTAGTAAAATCAGCCTTTCTAACATATCATGCGTTGAATGCCATCTGTGGCAATCTAACACAGGCTTAGGGAGTTTCATATTTTTTAATAACTTTTGGTAAGTGGGATGTCTTAATTTTAAATGTAGGCTCCTAGCTTTTGCAATGGTTTCCACAAGCCAGCTGAAGTGTGTGAGCTGCACACCGTACACTATAAATCGGATAGGATATAATAGTTGATAAAAAAGTATTTTGTAAATCATCATATCATATTTATATACATTTACATCCATATTTTCCTCATCTGCTGATTCACTCCTTATATCATAATCAGTTTCAGGTTGCAGGAGCTTTATAGCTCTTAAAAAATTACAACCATTATCAGAAGTAATTGTGTATATTTGTTGAATATTAATTTTAAATTTTAGTAAAGTTTTTAATATATTCTTTTTTATATATTCTCCTGTACATCTCTCTTTCAGCTCTACAATTCCAAGAGTCCTCAAATTTATAATGGACTTTGATATAAATTGAATATTTACACCAAGAATTGACCTATCTAGTCGTTGAACTGCATCAACTTTTAAACTTATTAATTTTCCTTCTACCTCTCTCGATATTTTGTCTCTAATTGATTGGACTGTTTTATTAATAGTTCTGGATAAA